CTGTGCTAGGTTTCAGTTTTGCCAATGGTTACTGAAGCTCCCTTGAGACTTAGAGATGAAGCAAAAGTAATTGGGGTTAATTTGATAATTGCCAGAAAAATAACCACCTGAACAGGATTACAGGTCCTATGAGATGTCACAGGAATATATTCATTATCTTTCATCAAAAGTCATCTCCATCCACACTCCCTGGATTAGCAAAAGGCCCAAAGGTCTTTAGAAATGAATGAATCAATGAATCAATTAATCAATTAATGGACAATTTATTCCTTAATATTCCAAATGGAAATTTGGGAGTTTTCATTTTGTTTTCATTGGGATTGGGGTGAAATTGAAATCTCTCATCATCTAAAGTGTGACAGAAATGACACATTAAGCAGTAACTCAGTTGGCTATACACACTAGTGACTCAAGCATGTAGTCTACAAGAAATTGGAGAATATGGCCAGGACTTCACATTTAATCTTTTGAAATCCACCAGGACATTTCTCATGAAGCGGAACTTATTTGCTCTTGTTAGTTTGTTTCAGATGCACCATCTAAACAGACTGCAGATAGTTTATTGGTAATCTGATCCTCAGTTTATATTATAGCTTTTTTTATATACTGCTTTTAGTTAAAGGGAAGGAAATGCTTTGTGGGGAATATGTGTATCTCAGGATTGAACTGTTGGATTCTTGGCATTCTCTGAGATAAGTGTCTTCCTCTTCCTGCAGACATTCCATTACCAGGCCAAGTAACATCATCACTGCACAGGAAGGAAATACATTTGGTTTTCAGATGAAGATTTAAAATTAATTATTCTGTGTCTAAGACTTCTTGACAGATCTGAATAAGGAAAAAAGATGTACTACTTGTGACCTAAAACTTGGAAACTAATAATGTGGCTTAAAAAGAGCCTCCTTACGAGATGTTTGTGGAACGACAGCTATAGCTTACATTTATTTAACACAGTTCTCAGACTAACAAGCAGGCTAGTAAAATTTCTCACTGCTAGGCCATCATTATATACAGTATGTACACTTGATTTACATTAATAAAATTGCTGATGGGATCATCTCAAAAGCATCTTGTGTTGAAGATTGTTTGCCATTGGAATCCTGGAGTACCTCAACATCTAAAATGAGAGATAGACATACTGATGATGGGCATGTGGTTGCTAGGAAGATTATTTCAATATATGATTACTGCGGTGAGATTACTATATGCACAGAGATGGAAAGATGTGATGCTACCCACTATGGAGGAATGGTTGGTGAAGTTGATAGATTTTGCTGAAATGGATAAATTGACTCCTTTGATTAGAGAAATCACTGTCTACATTTATTGTTGATTGGAAGCCTCTTATGGATTTTTGTGTAAAAATGAAAAAAATGAACTTGTAGCTATGGTTAGACAGGATAGATTATACAAAGAAGAGTAATATAAGGTAACGTTAGAGAGACAGCTTAAAATATACTGTAAATTAGGTATTGGTTTCTCTTTCAGTGAGCCTTAGTAATTTGAATAACCATTCCAATTCAAAGTGTTTTCAGCAAGAGAACGGGAGTGTTTCAGTCTAAATCAATTACAGAATCTCTTTCATTGCATCATTGCATAATAGCTGATTAAATAACAAATGAGTAGGGGAAGCAGTTTAATTTCAATTTAACAAAGAAAATATCTCCTAAAGATGGAGAGAAACTGGTCACTTATATAAAAAAGATTTTCAAAAGATTTTTGCACATGCACCAAAGAAAATCAAACTGACTCCACTGATTTTCCTATTGCTTCAGTCTCATAGATTGAATTTCAACAGTGAACATTTTTTGTCCTATAGATGTGGTTGAACACAGAGGTGAGAAGCTGTCAGGCCCAGCCCAAGTACAACGATGAGACAGTCCAGTCCAATATAGTTCCTTTATTACCTTGCACCTAATAGAATCTCGCCAGACTAAACCTCTGCTAAAGCAATTAGTGGATATACCCTGTGAGACTCTAGGGAGGGGCTAGACTCATCCTCTTTGTCTTCCTACATTCCTGCTGTGGATTGAGATAGTGCTTGCTCTGGAATGTTTCCCCTCCCTCCTGATAACCTTGATCCTCCATTCCAATATTTTCCTTGCTCATGCCATCCATTACAGAAGCACTGAACAAAAATCACCTTGCCAAGTTAGAATTTCTGGATGAATTTCACAATATTTATCCAATCTACATAAACTATTTTTATTTCTAACTTTAAAAGAGGGTGAAAAGTTATTATATTAGCTTAGGCTCGGTGTGATGAAGGTTGTAAGCAAATTCTTTATTATTGTCTTTGCTGCTTTTTTCTTAACTCTTCTTTTTTCTTTTCCTTTTGTTTTTCTTTTTTCGGCACCTTCTGAACTTTTTTTTTCTTTTTTTCTTCTAGGTTAGTTTGTATTAGTTTTGACTGTGTGTACTAAAAACTTCTATAACATAATAATAATAATTTTAAAAAAGAACCTACACAAACAATGACAAAGTTATCTTTGTAAAGAATCCCTTTATTACAAACTGCTTATTCATGTTAAGAATATCATGTTAGGAATACAATCAGAGAATTTTAAGTTGCTCCATTGTTCTTCTTCTTAGCTGTTCCTTATTGTTCAGTTCAGGTCTCATTATAATAATATAACATTTGGGGAAGAAGATAAAAGCCAGTAGCCCACCACTGGAGCACAAAATAGAAAAGATTTCTACAGCCACCATATATTTTCCCTTTGTGCTCAAGTATGTTGGAACAAAAGACAGCCAGACGCTGCAAAAGACCAACATGCTGAAGGTGATAAACTTGGCTTCATTAAATGTGTCAGGTAACCTCCTGGCTAAGAAAGCCACCATGAAGCTGAAAATTGCCAGGAAG